GGGGAAGGGGCCATGGGGTGACAAGGAGGACAAAGGGGGACCTCCCCTGGATAAGCAGCAGGGGAGGAGGATGGAGAGCAGCCCCAGCAGCGATTCCGCGATTCACCCAATATCTGACCCCAACTCCAAAATTAACCCAAACCGTAACTCAAAACCTAACCCCAACCCTGAAACCAGGTCAAACCCTGTTGCGAAGCGGAACCCGACCCCCACACCAAAGGTCGCCAATCCCCTTCTCCCCACAGCCACCGCAACCCCCAACCCGACCCGTGACCCCGACCTCGACCCCAAACCTCGGCCAACTCCTAACACCGGGCAACAACCTCACTCTACGCGCACAGAGGTAGCGGTGTCACCGTGTCACACTCACGCGCACACACACACACGGGAGAGTGTGGTGCGCGCATGTGTGTGTATGTGCTTGTGCACGTGGTGAGGCCAGCGTGCCCAATTGTGCAAGTGTGGAGTCAGATGTGAATATGTTGTGAATATCACGAGTGTGTGGTGTGTGTAGCAGTATTGTACTTGAGTGTGTAGTTTGTGTACACTGTGAGTGTGACGACACCGTGTGTACAGTGTATGTATGTTTAACTTCTTTCACATTGAACGTAGCCAACCGTGCTAATCGGAGGTGTGTGTACAGTGTGTGTGTACACTAAGCGTGTGTACACTGAGTGTGTGTACACTGTGTATCAAGTGATTTTGTTGTGTTTTAGGCCTCGGGCCGTTGCACCAGTGACCCCGTCACCCCTCCTGCCGCGACCCCTCCTGCCGCGACCCCTCCTGCCGCGACCCCTCCTGCCGCGACACCTCCTGCCGCGACACCTCCTGCGGCGCCATCCCAGGGCGTGCCTGCACCGAGCCACAGGGTGCGGCTCTGTCCACCAACACCACCGCCACCATCAACCACCACCTCCACCACCCCATGGGCTTGTGCCGTGGTATTGACGCCACGGTACTTGTGCCGTGGTTGTCTCACCGCGTGGTTGCGTGTCATCCTGTGGTTGTGCGGCAGAGTGTGGCGAGGGAGAGGAGGCGGCAGAGGAAACTGCAGGAGGAGCAGCAACACGTGCCACTGGGTGAGGGGGCTGGCGTGGGGGCTGGCGTGGGTGTGTGATGTGTGGTTCTTATGTCTGTGCGAGCGCCTGTGATGTGTGTGGTTTTTGTGTCCGAGTGCCTGTGTATGCTGGCAAAAACAACCCCCACCTCCTCGGCAGTTGCCAGCCGGTAACACTGAGGTGGCTGTGAGCAATGTCATTTCGGTGAAGGCCGATACTAATCAGCTGTTATCCCGACAGTGTGTTCGCAGCTGCTACAGTGGCCAATAGGGGCTCTAGATGGGAGCGAGGGTCTGGTAACCCTTCCAACTTCAACTAATTTACCAGAAAACTACGAATTAAAGATCAAAACTAGCTTGTGCCGGAGGCCCCTGGAGGAACAGGTCCCCCATGACACCTGGCCAAACCCCATTTGGCAGAGCCAGGAGACTGTACCCCACCCACCCACCTTGGGGTTCCTGATCCAATTCTGGACCAAGAATCCCAAAAGTCAATTAAGGCTTTACTGGGGCTGGTCTCTGTCTTGGTGTGCCAGCTTCAGAGTAACTGGTGGAGTGTTAATGGCATCATTGGTGAGCAGCAGTGGTGAGCGGTGTCGATTGCAAGTGCGAGCGTTGACCCTCACTCGTTTGCGTGTGCAGTTGCCCAGCACCGCCCACTCGTGTCGCTTGGCTCAGCCCCCCCGGGCCCCCCAGCCCCCGCAGCCCACCCCACCACTCAACCCAGAGTCCCGGCGACCGTGGTGAGCGAGAGCCAGGTGAGAGGAAGCACAGCAACGGTGATGTGCGTGACGGAGTGGGCGTGTGTGGAAGCTACCTGGCCTGTCGCTCTATACAAAGCTCCGGGTCTTCTCAGCCACAGTATTATCCTCCCTTCTCCATGCTAGGAAAACATAGACCCCCCCCGAAGGAATATCTATCTGCACCGGTTTCAAACATTCAGGCTGACCTGCCTACGATCCATCCTGGATTTAACCAGACTGGATTGTGTGAGGAGTTCACAGATCCTTGAAGGATCTGGACACGGTTCCATCAGTGAGCTCCTCCAGCAGCGAGGGTGCATTGATTGGGCCATGTAGGCTGCATGCCCAAGTAGCTTCTGTTCGGCCGGATAGAGGTGGCTAAACTAGCACTGCACGGGCTAGAGAAGAGATGGACTGATGTGGTACACAAGTCTGTGGAGCCGATTGGACTTGCCGATGACTGGTGCTAGCCGTGTTAAGATTGGCCTCTGTAGAGAAGGCTCGTGAAAGAAGTTACTGGGCAGTTGGAGGCAGTTGCCCTCCAACAATAGTACAGGGCAGAGGAGCAATGCTCGCAACAGAGCGGAGCACCAGGCGGCTAAAACGCAGCAGGGAGCGTAGGCAGTACATCCGCTGATCATGATCATCTTATGCAGTCTTTGCCGTGATCTCCTGCCAGCCAATGACAATTCACGTGGCCTCAAGGCTGACCTAGCCTAGCACAAGCACCCTGGTGATGTCACCGCCACTTAATATAAAATGACGGCTGTTGTGTGCATAGCTGTACGTTCTTGTGTGTCTACCTGTTTCTGCGTGTGTCTGTATGCATATCTTTGCGTGCTTATGGATGTCTGGGTCTATTTATGTCTGTGTATGTTTCTGCTTGTGTGTGTGTAGAGGGAGAGTGGCCTTGGCTCCGATGAGGATGATGACGACGAAGCATCTGCCTCAAGAGGCAGTGTGGCAGGATCAAAAGACAGCTGTGGCCGGTAGGGGTGGTGGGAGCGGCGGTGGTGGTGGGAGCGGCGGTGGTGGTGGTGTCGGTTGTGTTGAGGGTGGTGAGGGTGGTGAGGGTGTTGATGTGACAGTGAGGATAGTGGTAGTGGTGGTGAGGTTGGTGTGGCGGTACCAGTTGTATTCTTGTGGTAGAGAGGTGGTGTTGTGGCGATTGTCCTGTTGTGGTAGACCCGAGATTCGCCATGTGAGCGTCGACCACACCGCCCCATGCGTGAATGTGCACGTGCAGGCCGAGCAGCGCGGGGTCCTGTGACGTGCAGGATCTCATGGAGGCCATGACGCTTACGCTGAAGATGGAGCCTCGCGGCGCTCCGCCCACCACCAATGGCCACACGCCGCTGGCGGCCTCCCAGAATGCCATGCGGGGGTTCCACAGGAAGTTCCACGACACGCTGGTGCTTAAGGGAAAAGCACCAGATCCCTCTACCCTCCTCCTCACCCTGTCTCCCGGTAACCACCGCCACCCCCTCTGTTGCTAGGTAACCACCTCTATCTTCCCAGTAACCAACCTTGTGTCACTCCCGCTCGTGGCACTGTCACTTTGGACATCTGTGAACTACTGGACATCTGTGAAAAATAACTTTACAGCTCATCGGATTCCTCCAGCATAAATATTCTGAATGATTATTTGTGAACAGGCGACTGTTGCATTGGTGTTTGTGCTGCTGGCGTTGTTGTTGGTGGTATTGAGCTCGTTGGTGATGTTGCCGTTGTGGCTGCTGCTGTAGAGAGCGGCGCGAGGTCGGGCCGCGTGCAGCAGCAGCTGCTGTGCCTGCGCAAGGAGCTGCTGCCGGTGCTGCACTGGGAGACGCTGGAGGCAGCGTACGCCATTCTCGACTCGGAGCACCAGCAGCAGGTACCACCCCACCAGCATCCCCCCCCCCCCCCAAACCATCCCCGTGTGACCCATGATCTCCGACTTCATGTGACCCACAACTTCCCGTGACCTCCTCTGACCCCATGACGCCTCACAACCTACTACAATCTCTGGAATGATCAGTGTGACCCCCCGAGACCCATGTGTATCCCTCTTACCTTGTGAACCATGAACTTCTATGACCCCTTGATCCCCTCCGGTGACGCCGCAATTCTCAGTGACCTCTTGCATGGCATGTCTCGCAACCTCCTGCATAATCGCGCGATCCCCTGCTTGACCCCATGAACTTAACGTGCGAGCCCACAAACTGCTTTGACCTTGTTATATTTCGTACGAATGACCTCCCGCCTAACTGTTGCCCACTGTGTGACCCCAACCGCCCCCACCTCACCTGCTCCCACGACCCAGGAGAAGCTCATCGAGCTGCTGGGGGAGGCACGGTTCAGGGAATTCGGCGAGAAAATATGGAGGCTCAAGTTTTTCGAAGAGATGATGGACATTGGCCCCTGACCCCCGATCCTCAAGACTACGTCCCCCGCGAACATCCTGCCACCTTGCGCTGCGACTGCCGATTCCTGACCGCCGAGGTAGCGACGAGCAATCGATGACTCGTCGGTATCACGCGATGAGTTGGCGAGTAATAATAAACGTGCTTTTGTAGGAGACGCTGCCCGGTGTGCGTTTGGCTGCGAGTCGGTTTCTTCCTCCGGCGCCGTGGCCCCAGGGCCGGGATAACGATTACACACGCGACAGCAAAAGTCGCGCGTGTAATTGTTGCAAGAGGTTTGTTCAGATCCCAGCGGCTGCCGTGGTTATCACTGCGGGGCTTGTTGTAACCGTGACAATACTACTACCACGCGTTGTCTGCTTCACTCACAGTGGATGTTAAAGATCCGCATGACGCCATTCGCACGAGTGGGCCAATGCGTGCCGGCGTCACGGTCCAATTATGAAAAATTACACTGCAAATTACTCAATTGGGAATCACACAGAGCAACGATTATCGCCCCCTACTGGCAGCAGACTCAAGTAACTCTTGCAAACGAGACTCATCCTGGCCTTCTGCATTCTCAATTGGTCACACAACACAAACCTGAGCTGTCACAGCGGGTGCCATTTCAAAACGCCGTGGGTAAAGTAGCGCTGTGCACGCGTCGTCCGGCAGTCACTCGAGGCACTGCTGCCGCCGTGGTGGGATCACTAAGCCCCCCCCCCCACCGCAAACTGCTCTCTGCAGATTGCCATTTGCCGCAACCCTGCCGATGAGTGCGACGAGCGACGAGGAACGTCTCCACTACAAGGTCCATGGCTTCCCATGATCTTGAGAAAAACTCCTTTATTACGACATCAGGAACGCGATTAAAACGGCTCTCCCTCTCAGGGGACACCCACCACCTCCCTGTGGGCTCCCCTTCTCACTGCGCCCCCCCCCCCCCCTACTCATCCCCGTCCCTCAACACAAGTTGGTCACGATCAGGACTGTTCACCTTTGCTTGCCCTGCCCTGCACCCTGCCTGAGGACCGGCCCTGTACCCTGCCTGGGGACTTGCCCTGCACCCTGCCTGAGACCCGGCCCTGCACCCTGCCTGGGGACTTGTCCTGCACCCTGCCTGGGGACTTGTCTTGCACCCTTCCTGGGGACCGGCCCTGCACCCTGCCTGAGGACCGGCCCTGCACCCTGCCTGGGGACTTGTCCTGCACCCTGCCTGGGGACTTGTCCTGCACCCTGCCTGGGGACCGGCCCTGCACCCTGCCTGGGGACCTGTCCTGCACCCTGCCTGGGGACTTGTCTTGCACCCTGCCTGAAGACTGGTCCTGCACCCTACTTGAGGACTGGTCCTGCACCCTGCCTGGGGACTTGTCCTGCACCCTACCTGAGGACTTGTCCTGCACCCTGCCTGGGGACCGGCCCCGCACCCTGCCTGGGGACCTGTCCTGCACCCTGCCTGGGGACTTGTCTTGCACCCTGCCTGAAGACTGGTCCTGCACCCTACTTGAGGACTGGTCCTGCACCCTGCCTGGAGACTTGTCCTGCACCCTGCCTGGGGACTTGTCCTGCACCCTGCCTGGGGACCGGCCCCGCACCCTGCCTGGGGACCTGTCCTGCACCCTGCCTGGGGACTTGTCTTGCACCCTGCCTGAAGACTGGTCCTGCACCCTACCTGAGGACTGGTCCTGCACCCTGCCTGAGGACTGGTCCTGCACCCTGCCTGAGGACTGGTCCTGCACCCTAGACCTTGTGAACGCCCCGCCTGAAGATGCCCTCGCGGGAGGCTCCATATCCTGCACCCTGCCTGGGAACGCTCCATCTGGTGACACTCCACGCCGCACCCTGCGCTGGGCGTCATGGTGCAGCATGCAGGGGGACGGCAGGGACCCCGGGCCTCGCTCACGTAGGCGGCAACGCAGAACCTGGGGGGCACGGGGGGTGGGGGGGCACGGGGAGGGTGAGCACGGGATGCGGAGGGGTGGTGAAGGTGACGGCGGTGGTCATTATGGTAATGAGGATAATGGTCGTGTTGATATAAGTAGGCATGGCGGTGGTGATTGGTTGTGGTGGTGGTAATGATGGTGAGGGAGGTGATTGATCATGGTGGGAGTGGTGATGATGTCTGAGGAGAGACTTGTGGAGCCCCAATGTGGTTTCAGGCCAGGGTGGTCCTGCACAGATGCCATATTTTCTGTCCGTATGCTAAAGCAGAGGTTTAGGGAATCTACATCTCTGCTTTATTGACCCGGTCGAGGCCTATGATACCATCAATAAGCCTGGGCTCTAGGTTGTTCATCAACCCAGAGCCCAGGCTTATTGTTCCTGACTCTCTGCTCACAATCATTAAGGACCTTCATGATGATGGGCGGGCCCGGGCAAAGCTACGTGACTGGGAGTCAGAGCCATTCCCTGTTTACCTTGGGGTGCGACAGGTATGTCCCTCTGGCACCTACATTAATTAATCTTTTTGACCACATAGTTCGAGAAACTTTCCATGGCTGTACAGGCAGAATTTCCAGTTGGTACAGATACAGTGGGAGGCTGATCGATGCTCGGGTGCGGTCGAGTGATGGCTCCCTATTGGTCAACAATGTTATGTTCGCTGATGGACTGGTGATTGCAGCTCAATGTGAGGAGTTGGAGGCGCTGCTGCTGAACCTGGAGTGTGCTACAGCCCCTCCAAAACTAAGCACCTCGCTGGGTATTGTGTCATCAAACACTCCACCCCATCAACAACTCCTCATTGGTGGGGTAGTTTTGGAGAGAGTGGAGAGGTTTCCATACCTGGGCAGTGTGCTTATTATCAGATCTGGTTTGACAGCATAGGTCTCCCGAATCAGTCAAGCAGAATCTTTTCATCATCTGCGTAGCACGGTGTGGACGCTACCCGGTCTGTTGTTCCACACAAAGCTTCGGGTCTTCTCGGCCACGGTTATGTCCTCCCTTCTCTATGCTTGCGAAATGTGGACCCCACTAATGGAACATCTTCGCCGGTTAGAAACATTCAGGCTGGCTTGCCTACGATCCATCCTAGGTTTAACCAGGCTGGATTGTGTTAGGAGCTCACAAATCCTGGAAAAGATCTGGACACAGTCCCATCAGTGAGCTCCTCCAGCAGGCAAGGCTGCATTGGCTGGGTCATGGAACCCGCATGCCCAGCCACTGCATGCCTAAACAACTTTTGTTCAGCCAGATAGAGGGGGCTAAACAAGCACTGCACGCACTAGAGAAGAGATGGAATGATGTGGTATGAGCGGATATGGAGCCAAGTACACTTGCTCATAACTGGTGCCAGCGGTGTCAAGATCAACTTCTGTGGAAAAGGCTCTTGAAGGACGCTACTTGGCAATTGGAGGCAGACGCGCTCCAGCAACAACAGAGGGCAGAGGAGTGACGCTCACAACAACGAACGGAGCGCCGGGCGGCTAAAACATCGCAAGTTGGCACAGTAGGGATGGCACAGGTGGTCCATCGGCCAGTCATCTCAGTCAACCCATGACACCTGGGTCTGTCCTGTGACCTGTCAGCGGGTGTTTGACACTTCATGTGGCCTTAAGGTGCACCTAGCCTGGCATAAGCGCAGTGCTGACGTCACCACCACTTAGTGGCGAATGGCGGTTATTGTGGTGGTGGTGGTTGGCTCACCGAGCTGGAGATGTTTGCGATGAAGATGGAATCATGGAGGCCCCTCCTTTCCACTTGCACCTCTCTCCGTACACCTCCCGGGGACCTGAAGGGACGGGGGCCACGCGTGGGGCCCCACAGCTGGAGGGAGGAATCTGGGGGGGGGGGGGGGGGGGGGGGTGCGAGACACAATACACTCACTCCCCTCATGCTCGCTCACACGCTTCACCCTCTCATCCTCACGCTCACCATCTCGCTCACGCTCTCACCCCGTCTTATGCCGAGCTGCATTCCTCCGCTCTCGCAAGCGCCCTCAACGTCGGGGGACCCGGTCAGGATGCTCAGCTCAGTCGCGGGGGTCCCAGCGTCCGCATTCCCCTTCCCAGGGGGCTTCTGCCCTGCACAGAGGGGTCCCCACACAGAGAGGGTCCCACACAGAGAGGGGTCTCTGAAGTCGAGAGAAGGGCAAGGGGGACCAGAGGGGAGGGCGAGGCCGAGGGGAGCGTCTCACGGGCGGCGAGGAGGTGGTGAGTGAGCTGTCTCTGCTGCGCGACGAGGGTGACCAGGAGGCGGTGGTTGAGCGCCGGGAGGTCGCGGAATGAGTGGTGAGCGAAGAGGAGGAGGAGCAGCGCGACGAGGAGCGCCACGCGGCGAGACCACCACGAGAACAGCCACACCTCGTCCTGTGCCAACAACCCCCACCTCGTCACTCACCAACAACAACCCCACCTCGTCACTCACCAACAACCCCACTTCGTCACTCACCAACAACAATCCCACCTCGTCACTCACCAACAACAACCCCACCTCTTCACTCACCTCGTCAATAGCCTCACATCGTCACCAACGTTCCTCGCTTAAGCACGACCACATCTCGTCAATACACCAAACCATCGCTACACCTCGTCATCACGCACACGTCCCCCACCACAGCTCCCATGAACGTACCTTGTCAACATACAGAATGATCACTTCGTTAACACCTCGTCACAATGCAATAAAGGCTATCTCATGGCATGCCGTGCCTCGCACAACCTCGTCAAATATACCACAACCCTCACGTCTTCACGTTCACTTTTCATTCTCAACCCTTCGCCTGGTCTACTACATCGTCACTCACCTCGTAACCACATCACCCTGCCCCTTCACCTCGTCATACCTCTTCACTCCTCGTCACCACTCGCCACACATCATCACACCCACTCCCGCACACCTCATTACGCCAATCCAGTCACACCCCTCAACATCCATCCTCACCACCTTGTTGCAATGATCGTCGCTCACCTCCCCTCACACTCTCACCTCATCACCCCCCCCCCCCTCACCAGGTGAGCTATCCCCCCCCCTCACCTGCACGTTGGGCCCCGGGGGATCCCCCCAGGTGATGAGGGTCGTGACCCCTCGCTCCAGCAGCAGCTGCGCCGTGAGGAGCACGAACAACCACGGCCTGAGGCAACCACAACCACCACCAGAACTACCACCACAACTACTGCCACAACCAGACCTTTAAGCAACCACTACCAGAACTGCACACCCATAACCAGAATTATACACCCACACCAATCAGCAACTACACTACACCCAACTACTCCATCGCCTAGAGCTACGACCACGACAACCATCACCCCCAGAACTCTACCCAACCACAGCCGCCAGCTCTCCCCTATCCCCCACGATCTCCACCCCCCCCCCCTCGCCTGGCTCTGGCGGTCGATGTGGCCGTGGTGAGGATCCAGGCGAGGGGGCAGCAGAGGGCGTAGAGGAGCGCCGCGTGGAGGCCCCCCAGATCGCCGGCGAGGAGCGCGTGCAGCGCCGAGAGGCGGCGCAGCGACTCCGCGAAGAGCGCGCGGCTCTCCAGCGCGCTCCCCCGCAGCTCCGAGAAGGCCACGCGGACTCCTGGTGTGGGAGGAGGCGGTGGTGGTGGAGACGCGCGGGAAGATCAAGGAGATGCACGGGGAAAAATGCACGGGTAGATAGAGACACGGGGAGGCAGGAAGACACCGAGATAGGGAGCTGTCCGCCCGGTTCCAGCTCACTAACATTATCCACACAATGCTTGCCAGCGCGACTCACTCGCACCCTCACTCCACTCACCCGTGTCGTAACCCACCAACTTGCCCACACCACATCCAACCTATATATCCTCCTTAACGCCTCCCTCACACTCTCCGCCCACCATCCCCCCCTACCCGCTCACCCTTCTGCGACTGTGCCAGGGCTCTCCTGAGGCTCTCCCCGCTGCGCGCGGCTCTGTGCTGCGCCCTCACGAACTCTCCCTGCGAGGTGAGGATGCTCTCCCCGAGCTCCGCGCTGCGCCGCAGTTGCCGGGAGAAGCGCGAGGAGCCGCGAGCGAGCACGGAGAGCAGCGACTCCGCGTCGTCGCGCCACGCCTGGGTCACGGGGACATGGGGCACGGGTTACAGGGGGCACGGGTTACAGGGGGCACGGGTTAGAGGGGGCACGGGTTACAGGGGGCACGGGTCACAGGGGGCACGGGTTACAGGGGGCACGGGTTACAGGGGGCACGGGTTACAGGGGGCACGGGTTACAGGGGGCACGGGTTACAGGGGGCACGGGTTACAGGGGGCACAGGGACAGGGGGCACGGGTTACAGGGGGCACGGGGATAGGGGCACGGGTTACAGGGGGCACGGGTTACAGGGGGCACGGGTTACAGGGGGCACGGGTTACAGGGGGCACGGGTTACAGGGGGCACGGGTTACAGGGGGCACGGGTTACAGGGGGCACGGGTTACAGGGGGCACGGGGATAGGGGGCACGGGTTACAGGGGGCACGGGGATAGGGGGCACGGGTTACAGGGGGCATGGGGATAGGTGGCACGGGTGACAAGGGGGCACGGGGACAGTGAAGTGTATGTCAACCCTGCTAATCGGAGGTGCGGAGGGAAAGACGACGAACTCAACACCAAAAAGCAGTGCTAAAGAAATGAGTTTTCAATCGAGAGTTAAAAGTGCGGCGTAGTTCCAGCGGCTTCCTAACATCGACAGGAAGAGCGTTCCAGACGGCCGCAGAAGCGCATCCGAAAGCGCCACGCGATGCGGTGACCGCCGTCTGTGTTCGATGGCCAGCAGCCAAAAGCCGCCACCGCCGCTGCTACGACGACGAGGAGTGGAGTTCGCGTGGCGGTTTATGCTCAGCGACGAGATCAGCGAGGTACCGTGGTTAATTTTTTTGCGTGTGCGATGAATTCGCAGCGACCCGACAATGGAAATCGTTCGGCAAACGCAAGCCAATGCAGCTCGGCGAGCACTGGACGGACACGGTCGGATCTTGCAGTTCCCGTCACGACCACGTGCCAGAGAATGTCGTACACGCTGGTAATGTTTTTTTTTAATATATGCCAGACGTTCCGTAGAGTAGCGGAGTTGCTACGATGTCCAGTATGGGCGGGTCAGCAAGTTACATGGGCAACACAATGCAACAACGACAACAAATAACGATCGTAGTGCGAAATCGAGAAACGGGCAAGCGGGTCACACTAAACAATTATGCGACTCCCAATTTTCAAGCGTTTGGCAAGCGAGGCAACAACAACAACAACAAAAATAACCCCCCTCCCCCCAACAACAAAAACAGTCCCAGGCCACACCTGTGCGCGCAGGTGGTGGCACACGCTGTGGGCGTGCGTGTAGAACTCCGTGTATGCGCTGAACGCCACGGGATCCATGCTCCGCGTGCAGGTGCGGGGGTCCCGCGGCCTCTGCGGGCACGAGGGCAGCGCCCTGCCGGCCGCCCTCAGGTGGCACCGCGTGAACGCGAGGGCCACGCGCCGCTGGGCCTCCTCGCCCAGCCGCTCGCAGCCCGCGCGCAGTTCGGCCAGGGCCCGGCTCCAGCAGAGGCCCAGCCGCGGCTTCGACTCCGCCTGCATCTCCATCATCATCGCCACCCTCGCCATCGCCCCGTGGCCGCCTCCGCTTCCTTCTCCACTCCGCTCCGCGCTGGGAGGGGGGTCCCCTCCTCCGACCGGAGGCCCCCGTTCGGAGGATGGGACCCCGCTAGGAGGAGGATCCCTGGATGGGACCTCGCTCTGAGGGTCCCTGAATGGGTCACCGCTGGTAGGAGGATCCCTGGGCGGTGTCGAGGAACCGTGGCGTTCGCATTGTGAGAGAGATGCGAGGAGGAGGAGGACGAGGAGCCGGATGACGAAGTGGTGGAGGGAAATGGAGAGGAGGGGGAGACGCGAGGCCATTTGCGCGCGGTCTTGGGATGAGGATTAGGAGACCTGGGGGGAGGATTCGTGGGTACACGTGGGGAGCGGTGGCGCGGTCGTTAGCGCACTGCGCTATCAACCCGAGCTCAATTCCCGTTCCCAGACTCCACCAACAGTGGCGGATATCCCGAGGTCGATTCAGCCTTAAAGGAGTACCTGGTGCGGTGTGCACACCATCAGCACGGGGGGGGGGGGGGGAGACAAAGGATGCTGTTCACGTGTGTAGCTCTACCTGTGTGTAGCTACCTGTGTGTACACGCGTGTGTGTGTAGCTACCTGTGTGTACACGCGTGTGTGTGTAGCTCTACGTGTGTGTACACGCGTGTGTGTGTAGCTCTACGTGTGTGTACACGCGTGTGTGTAGCTCTACGTGTGTGTACACGCGTGTGTGTAGCTCTACGTGTGTGTACACGCGTGTGTGTAGCTCTACGTGTGTGTACACGCGTGTGTGTAGCTCTACGTGTGTGTACACGCGTGTGTGTAGCTCTACGTGTGTGTACACGCGTGTGTGTAGCTCTACGTGTGTGTACACGCGTCTGTACCCGTGTGTGTACACGCGTCTGTACCCGTGTGTGTACACGCGTCTGTACCCGTGTGTGTACACGCGTCTGTACCCGTGTGTGTACACGCGTCTGTACCCGTGTGTGTACACGCGTCTGTACCCGTGTGTGTACACGCGTCTGTACCCGTGTGTGTACACGCGTCTGTACCCGTGTGTGTACACGCGTCTGTACCCGTGTGTGTACACGCGTCTGTACCCGTGTGTGTACACGCGTCTGTACCCGTGTGTGTACACGCGTCTGTACCCGTGTGTGTACACGCGTCTGTACCCGTGTGTGTACACGCGTCTGTACCCGTGTGTGTACACGCGTCTGTACCCGTGTGTGTACACGCGTCTGTACCCGTGTGTGTACACGCGTCTGTACCCGTGTGTGTACACGCGTCTGTACCCGTGTGTGTACACGCGTCTGTACCCGTGTGTGTACACGCGTCTGTAGCTCTACCTGTGTGTCGCAGTGTGTACACGCGTCTGTACCCGTGTGTGTAGTTACCTGTGTACACGTGTCTGTACCCGTGTGTGTACACGCAAGTCCCCGCGAGCACCCCGGATTCAAATCCCGCTTCTCCACGCGCGGCAGCCAATTAACATTGTCACGTGATCCGAGCTCCTCCCCCCCCCCCGTAGTAGCCACGCCCCAGCTCATTAACGCCACCTTAGCCACTCCCCCCCATGGACTCATGATGATGAAAGAAGAAGAGATGGGATCAGCTCCTCGCGGTGTAGAGGGTGGTCCAGATGTCTTGTGACCCCCCCAATGACCTCTAACAGTTTTCCTTTGTATATGCATTTGTGTTAAATTAAAAAAACCTTGCTTAAAATATTAAGTTTTAGATAATTAAATGGGGAGGGGGGGAGTGGTCACAAGATATCTGGACCACGCTGTAGCGCAGCAGGTTTCCTTGGGTGGATCGCGAGAGCGCACAATACTCATCCAGCAGTGAATTGACCGTGGCTGATTACGATGAGCCCATCACCGTCCCAAACACACCGGACGGCATGTGCAGGCGTCTGCCTAATTAAGCAATCAACAGCGATGAGGCTTAATTGACTGCGGTGATGTCATTAACATTCCACAAATTACCTGGCGATGCTGCTGCTGTTGCTGCTGCGTCGCAAGTGGTGAACGAGCAGAGACAACTCAACACGTCCCGAGTGTCAACAACAACACCGCTGTGTGGGGCCTTAAAGGGGGGAAACTATTTTGGCGACGTTTCGGGGTAACGGCCCTCCGTAGCACGTAAAATAATAACAATGACGGGAGTGTTGTGGTTTTTAAAAAGAAATCGATATTGAGTTTAACCATGACAAGCCATGACAAGCCCTGCTCATCAGCAGCAGCAGGGGGCTCTGCCAGTTGTTCATAATGGCCATATCCCAACGTACTAAACAATTAATCTTGATTTGAAGCTTTCGTGACTGTAGGAATCCATACTCTTTGGTTCTTTCGGTAAAGTCACGTAGGTAGAAAAATCATAGATCACGTTTCGAAACAATTGGACTCCTAAATAAAACCATTTTTTGCCAGCATCAAATTATGAAAAAATATATAAAGTTTTTACCCCTTTCTGGCAATAAAACAAGAGGTGAAGATGTTCAAACACCAAATAGAAACATTTTGCAAGGAATCAAGTACTGCATTAACCACACACGGTACTTGCGGTGAACATGCAAAAAAAATGCTCTGATATTTGCATTTTCTTGGTTCTTTCGGTAAAGTCACGTAGAATGGAATTAAAATAATAAAAATAAAACATAATAAAATAAAATTCTCAGAATTTTTTTAATGTTTTATTTTCTCAGAATTTTATTTTTTATTTGTTTTATTTTTATTATTTTATTTGCATTCTACGTGACGTTACCGAAAGAACCAAGAAGATGAATCCCTGCAGTCACGAATTTAAATCGAAATTTTATATTTGCATTGTCTTTTAATGAGTGGCCTACACCAGATCAGCCTTCTTTCGGGCCAAGTCTCACCAGAGTACGTACGTGTGGTTTAATGCAGACACGATTCCTTGAAAATGGTTTCTATTTGGTGTTTGAACATCTTAACACCGCCTGTTTTATTGCTAGTAAGGGTAAAAACCTATTATTTTTAAAATCGTAACGCCTAATATGGCCGTGGGCGTGGTTTCCCGAGCCGTGGGCGGGGCCAACATTTCGACGCGTTTGGGAGCGACTCCGTTCTGTGAACTTCCTCGAGGTTTAGAATCGAACTGGGGACCCCCCGCGTCTGACACGGAGGGACCTTGTCGATAAGACACCTGGGCAGCTCGGCAGCACTGGTTCAAGCAAATAAAATGACTGCTGCTGCTGCTCGATACACTGGATGTCGACATCGGATCGAGTTGTTTTCGCTTGCGTTGAAAATGCTGCTGAAATTGCGTGTAAAAATAGGTGAAGAGACATGTGAAGGAGACATTGTCCGCTTATTTAATGTCAGAAAGTTCGAGGTCTTAATTATGTTGATATACGAGGGGTCCTTTTGTCCACTTCTTGCCGACGGAGCGAGGGAGCGGCTGCCATCCACGTGTCCCGGTCGAGGATCATAGAACGTGGCCTCCAGGCAGGTTCCACCCCTCACACGCATCACGTGACCGCAGACACGTTGTGCTGCCCAGCTCCGTGGGTGAATTTAACATTTTCCCAAGATGCAACGCAACCCCCCCCCCCCCCCCATGATCATCATGACTACACACCATCACCACCATCAGCCCCTGTCACCACCATATTCCACATCTCCCTCCTTAATCATCTCCCGAATCACCTCCATCCCCACTCGATCGCCACCACCTCCATCACCTCCACCATCACCTCAATAACCATTTCTTCAATTATCAGAGTCCCTTCGCCATCACCTCGTCAACCACATCGTCCACCACCTCCTCGCCGCGCTCATGATCACGTGGGATGAACTCGGCAGCATCCCCTTTGGCCGGGAGGTCACAGGGTCAAACCAGACTCCTCTCGCCATGCAGAGGGGACTGGTCCCCCCCCCCCCCTAAGTGGGTGCCCGAACCCCCAATCAAGCTGTCATTCCCCCCCCCCCCCACCCCTTACTCTCCGTTAACAGAGAACCCCAAGGGGGGGTGGGTGACCATAAGCTAACCCTGACCGTGATGCTGACCCTGACCCCTCAGAGAAAAGACACGCGGAGGAATCGGTCATCTCTATACGGGATATATTGGGGTTTTTTTTTACAACAATAATCATCATCGTCATCATAGTCATGCCACAGGTAATAGCTTGCAAAGAAAACAAGAAATTTAAAATAACAAAAAATTACCACAACCTGCTCCACCACCAACTCCACCACCCTCCACCACCCCAATTGAAATTCCTCCCCTGGATTTTTACTCATCATTTGAAAGAGAAACACCGGTGGTGGTGACGGAGGAGAGACGAAGAGGAAGAAGAGGGGCAGGAAGGGAAACCGAGCGAGAGGAGGAGAGATGTTGAGAGACCGAGACCCGGGGGGTGGTAACGGAGGAGAGGGTGGGGGGGTAGCGGGGGATGCAGGCATAGGAGGGGGGCGGCGGTGCAGCAAGGGGGGTCAGGGCAGTGCAGCGTCATAGGGTACAGGGGTGGGAGAAGGGATCACAGGGATAACCACTAACTCCCCCCCCACAACCTCCGGTTCCCTCTTTACCCCCTCTGCTCTTTCAGGGCTCATGACCCATACACCAATGTTGTATAAATGGCTGTGGTTCCATTGAGAGGTGGTCATTACCAAGTGAACTTCGGGGTTCCAGACACTCTGGGGCACTGGGGATAGACATAATACAGCGAGCATGGCCTGGTCTTGGGCTCTTACAGGGGGTGCCCAGGGGTCCTAAATTAAGACCCCTTGTGATCCAGGCACCACAGCCCCCGGGAGTGGGTGGGGGGGGCAGGGAGAAATGAGAGCGAGGGGGAAGAGAGGGTGAAGAGAGGCAAGGTGGGAGAGAGTTCGGGGAGAGCAAAGCAAAGGCATGTCTATAACTCTACAAGCAAACTTGTCCTCCAATTATCCGTTTCAACTTCTGCCCCCCGTAACTCCGTGAATATTGTTAAGATGGGTGTGGGCGACGCAGGGGACTATGCGAGAGGCAACACAAGGGTCGATTTGGTAGGGTGACACAAAGGGGCTATGCGCGAAGCAACATGGACCACCTCTTGGTGGGTAAACACAGGGATGATTTGGTGGGGTGCCAACAGGGGGCTATGCGAGGAACGACAGGGACCGACTCTTGGTGGGGCGACACAGGGGGGGGACGCGAAGGGTAACACAGGGAATTATGCGGGGCGACACAGGGGACTACGCGAGGGGCGACGTTAGTACTGTATTTATAATGTTATTCAAACTCCCCTTGCCCCCCCACCTCTCCCCACGTGGGGGGTGGGGGGGGAGATGTGCAAGCGCCAAGTGCGTGTGCGTTACACCCTGCAACGCAGGGTGTGCGCGTGTGAATGTTAACATGGATGTGTGTGAGAGCATGCTACCAGGCGTGTGCGTGTTAGCAGGGTGTGTGAATTGACCGGTGACTAAATTCGTGCACTAGTGTGTGTACAGTGTGTGCATGATGCTCGGCGTGTGTGTGTGAGCTATATGTGCGTGCGAGGTGGAGATGAGTGTGAGTCGGTGTTCTTAAGAGCTGTGGTGATGGAGCTTTGAGTGAGAGCTCGATGTGAGTGAGAGGTGCGACGAAGGCTGGGTGGATGTGTGCGAGCCGTGCGCGAGGGCTGAGTGACCCGTGCGTGAGCGGTGTGCGAGCCGTGCGTGAGGGCTGAGTGAGCCGTGTGTGAGGGCTGAGCGAGCCGTGCGTGAGGGTTGAGTGAGCCGTGTGTGAGCGGTGAGTGAGCCGTGCGTGAGCGCTGAGCGAGCCGTGCGTGAGCTGTGAGTGACCCGTGCGTGAGGGCTGAGTGACCCGTGCGTGAGTGGTGAGTGAGCCGTGCGTGAGGGCTGAGTGACCCGTGTGTGAGCGCTGAGTGAGCCGTGCGTGAGGGTTGAGTGAGCCGTGCGAGAGGGTTGAGTGAGCAGTGCGTGAGGGCTGAGTGACCCGTGCGTGAGGGCTGAGTGACTCGTGCTTGAGGGCTGAGTGACCCGTGCATGAGCGCTGAGTGAGCTCTAGCAGCAGCTGCTGGATTTTGGTTTGTCGTTGTTGGTCAACTTGATCTGATCGGGAAACTCGTTATACAGCTCCACCTCCGTCTCCTAATACACACACACACAGGGACACACACACACATATATGTGAGATACACAGGGACATATACATACCAATATACAGATCCACCTCTGTACACACTCCACCTAACATAAATGTACACAAAAGATACAACAACCGTTATTGGCCATTAAGTGGCGGTGGTGTCACTACTGCGCTCGTGCCAGGCTGGGTGCACAAAGACAAACACAGATACTCATACGCACACAGATATGCAAACAGAAAAGACAAATATTCCCCCCCCCCCCCCCCCGTAGCCTTAGACTTTTGGGGGAAGTGCTGTTTGCGACGCCTATGAATGCAGGCACGGTCCAAGAGGGGATGGGTGGCCAGCACCACGCTCGAACACTTTTGTCTCCCCGGTGGCGATGTTTACACACCGAACCATGTACTCATTTGAGGCCGAGTCAACCTAGGGGAAACCCAGCACCAGTTCAGATATTCGTCACTTGTGTTGGCTGAGAGCACGGATTGAATTCAGATCTCATGGTTGGTTCATAGCGCAACTTGCTAACCACTACACTATCGCGCTCCACTACACTATGCATACATACATACACAAATACTCAGATATACTGCTCTGCGATGTTGATTATGTTGTTTTACGTTGCAAGATGGTTGTGATGTTGGTGATGTGAGAGGCATTAATGGTACTCATGGTGATGTTTATGATGAGCATGGTGGCGATGGCGGTGATGTTCGTGAATGATGGTGACATTATTGATGTTGGTGGTGATGGTGTGGATGATGTTGGTGGTGATGGTGTGGATGATGGTGGTGTTGATGGTGGTGTTGATGGTGGTGTTGATGGTGGTGTTGATGGTGGTGTTGATGGTGGTGTTGATGGTGGTGCCGTTAATGATGGTGGTGTTGATGGTGATGGCGGTAGTGAAGGTGGTGGTGATATTTATGTTGATGGAAATGTTAGCGATGGCGATGATGATGATGTTATTGACGTTGGTTGTATTCTGCGTTGTTGAAGTTGGTGATGGTGTTGATGCTGGTGATGGTGTTGATGCTGGTGATGGTGTTGACGATGGTGATGATACCTGTTTGAGCGCGTTGCGAGCGATGGTCTGGAAGGCCTGCTCCACGTTGATCGCCTCCTTGGCGCTCGTCTCAAAGTAGGGGACGTCGTTCTTGTTCTGACACCAGGTCTGGGCGCGCTTCGTCGGGACCTGGGGAGCACAGGGACTCACAAATAAGGCCAAAGGTCCCCTGGGTAGCACACTCAGGCTGCAGGGGCCAAGAGCTGTTGACCCTTTGTCATTCTGATGGCCCGTCATCGGAACGGGACCGAAAGAAAAACTTAAATGAAATAACTTTATCTGTGACGAGGCTTCCACAAGACCATATGGGAGGGCGTGTGGCACAGTTTGGCGCCAGCTATCATAGTGTGCGGTTGTGCCGCTACAGTTCTCTGCGGTGAGTAACGGGACCCCACCCTGCACCTTGCAGTCATCACGGAATGGGAAAGTGTTAAGCGAGTACCTGCAAAGGCCCGAATGGCACACGAGGAGGGTGTCGTGACCAGGACCGCACCCGCCCGCCTTTGTCTCCCCAATGCCGATGTTTATGCACAGCACAGGGTACTCATTCAGACCGAGTAAAACTGGGGGAGTCCCAAAGGCTGGTAGATTAATTTCGCCACTGATGTTTGCCGTAAGCGGGGAATTTATCTTGGGTCGCGGGATTTGTAATGTAGTGCTAACTATTATGCTACCACTCTCCCTTCAGTCTCTCTCTCTTTCCCGTGTCTCTCTCTTTATCTCTCCCACCTGTCTGTTCTCCATGTCGATCTTGTTGCCAAGCACCACGAAGGGGAAGTTCTCGGGGTCACGTGGTGACGCCTGGATGAGGAACTCGTCGCGCCAGCTGTCCAGCGTCTTGAACGTGCCGGGCTGCGTCACGTCGAAAACGAGCACACAACAGTCGGCGCCGCGGTAGAACGCCACGCCCAGCGACTGGAACCGCTCCTGCCCTGCTGTGTCCCAGATCTAGACACAGGGGGATAACACAGGGGGAGACGTGGGGACATGAGACACCGAGAGAGACGCCCAGGGAGTGGAATCGCTCCTGCCCCACCGTGTGCCAGTTCGAAACACAAGAACACTTTAAGGCAGGGACGTGACCGACAGGACACAGGTAGACAGTACACACACCCACACGCAGATGTTGAAACACACCGATACATGAGACAGAAGGCAACTCTCACAGACTGGTGCCGCTCCTGACCCCGCAGGGTCCCAGAGACTGCGACACGTAGAAACGTCTCTCAAAGTACACCGAAAACGCTCACTGGTGAGGAGCCGGGGGTGAGTGGGCCTGAGGTGAGGAGTGGGTTGGGGTTAGCAGGAGCGAGTGGGCGGGCTCACTGTGGGTGAGCATGGGCTTGAGGCGAGGGCGGGTGCACGAGCGCGGCTCAGGATAAGTGTAGACGAAGGCGAGCATGGGTGAGAGTGGACCAACGGGGACACGGAGCAAATAGGTGCAAGGATGAGTATCTGTGAGTAGAGTTGAGCGTGGGTGAGTAGAGGTGAGCATGAGTGAGCGTGGGGGGCGGGCGACACCTGCATGGTGACGAGCCTGTCGTCCACCATCACTTCCTTGGTGAGGAAGTCCGCGCCGATGGTCGCTTTGTACTGGTTGCTGAATTTCTTGTTCACGTACTGGTTCATGAGCGACGTCTTCCCCACCCTGCGCTCGCACACACAGGCACAGGTCCCACGTGTAGTTCTATACACTGCCGGGGCAAATGCTGTCAGCAAGGCCCTGTGCCGAAGATGTCCCGTGTAGCCATTAACAGGATGTTGGGGCAAGGGCTGTTTAGCGAGTTTGCGCTTATGAAGGCCGACACGGCACACGAGAGGGCGGTGTGGCTAAGAGCCACACATGGCCGCATTTGTCTCCCCTGTGGTGATGTTTATAGTGAAGTGCGCTAACCGCGACACTACCGCTCCCCACATTTTGCCTTATAGACTTGTAGGGGTGACACACACACAGCTGCGCGCACACACAGCTGCGCACACACACACAAGCCCGCACACACGCGTGTAGACACACAAACACACACACGCGCACAGCCCTACAGCCATCAACTACAAAGCCGCATTCAGAAGCTGCGGCCTACATTTATCAGAGCGTGCAAGTCCCCTAACAGCACATGCCCCAACTGTCTGTTTGAGGCTACATGGGGCATCCCTGTATACCTACGTGGGGGGGCCAGTGGCAAAGTGGTTATCACGTTGCACTACAAACTCAGCAACCCGAGTTCTACTCTCGCCCACGGCCAACACGAGTGACGATTATCTGAACTGGTCCTGGGCCTCCCCGAGGCCTATTCATCCTGAAATGAGTACCTCGTGCGGTGTGTAAACATCGCCACTGGAGAAACAAAGGCGGCCAAGCATGGTGCTGGCCACCCACCTCCTCATGTGCCGTTCCAGCCTTCATAGGTCCTCACTAACAGCACTTGCCCCAACAGTCTGTTAAGGCTATACGGGGAATCTCTGTACGTGTAAGTACATGTAAGTGCGTTTACGTGTGTGTACGTGTGCACGTACCCAGAGTCTCCGAGAATTATCACCTTGAGCAGAACCTTCTTGCGGGAAGTCATGGCGGAGTCTGCCGGCACAGACAGAAACACAGGTGAATGGGGGGTGAGTCGGGGCGATTGAGTGAGGTTGTTGAGTCTGGATAAGTGAGTATGGCAGGTCATGGGTGAGCGCCAACGTGAGAGTAAGGGATGTGTGGAGGGGCGAGTTTTGGTGAGTGTATGGAAGGTTTCGGTGCCATCCGCACTCATCAGTAGAGCTGAGCCGCCTCCGACTAGGCAGGTCAAGGGTGAGCGGTCAGGGTTGAGGGGTCAGGGATCATGAACTGGAGTTGAAAGAGGACCCAAGAGGCTCAAGTGTGAGGGGAGGGGGGAAGGAGGCTGGGGTCACAGGGCGCCGAGCCAAGGCATATTGCGCAGCCTCTCTCCACTACTGCGGCACAACAGCACTACACACTACAAAGCTACACAAACAGCACAACACCACACAACACAACCAGCACAACACCACACAACACAACCAGCACAACACCACACAACACAACCAGCACAACACACCACTACACAACCAGCACAAGACACCACTATACAACCAGCACAACACACTGCAACACAACCAGCACAACACACCGCAACACAACCAGCACAACACACCACTACACACCACAACAACACACCACAACACTATACAGCCAGCAAAACGTATAACACTACACAAGCAACACAACACTACATAACTAGCACAACACATGACATAACACAACAAAATGGTCATCAAACACCACCACAACAACAAAGCAACCCATCAGTGACCTCTCACCAAACAGCGCACGTGATCCAGCATTGCTAATAGCCCTGACATCACTCCACACACGACATCACAGCAACCTCACAACACCACTACTCGCCACACAAACATCACCACGTCATCACAACACCACTGCTCACCACTCCAGCATCACCACAACTTACCACATCAACATCACAACGTCATCACAACACCACTACTCACCACATCAACATCACCACGTCATCACAAAACCACTGGACTCTATACCCTGCCTACCTCTCCCCTTACTTCCAAGAACTCTCCAATTTCTCCCCTCTCATATCACTGTACTCCTTCCAGACGCTCTCTTACCTCTCCCCTATCATCTCCACTGCTTCGCTTGGTGGGAGGTCGCTCATTCTCCTCTGCTGCCCCTATTGTCTAGAACACTCTTCCTCCAGCCATCCGTGCTGTCGACTCCCTGCCCCTGCACAAGTCTCGGCTCAAGACCTGCCTCTTCCCCTCTGCCTATGACTGACTGTCGCTCAGAGACCCATAGCCCCATACAGAACCACACGCACTCACACAGAGACGCGGACTCGCACACAGATTCAAAGAGACACTGACACACTCACACAAAGACACGCAGACCCACACATTCACAATACTATGCACTCAACATCACACTAGCACCAGAACACTACTCAGTGTAACTAACAACCCTCACATCATCATCATCACTACTTTAAACCCTGATCCGGACTGACATTAAGTATGAATGCCTTCATCCAGCAATGGATTAACAAAGGGATGTAAATTATTGTTATTTTACCATGACAACACTACCAGGCGACTGACATTACTCATCATCATCACCACCATCACCACCCCCACAGAGCACATGATCATACACATGATCATACACACATGACTTGCATAACATGTCACTACAGTATTAACCAGTTTAACACGTAGGCTTATTAACCACATCACTAACATTACGACTACACTACTCAACACACTATCACTACTCAATATACTACCGTAACAACAACATCACATCACTACTATCATTACATCACTCCTAATAACATGACATCATTACTAACATCACAACACTCGTCGATAGAATAACATCCCACTACTCACAACACTATCACAACATTATCATCACTCCTTTCCCAATTTAACGCCTGCACTAAGAACATCACAACACTATTCACGATTCTAACATCAAAATACATTATACCAAATCACTTGGTCCATACGCAACATCACCACTACCCTAACATCGACACATCACGCCACCACGATAACTCACTCTGCCCCAGAGCAAGAGCGCGTAATGGGAGAGACGGATCAAAAGGGAAGTCACCACCATCAATCTCTACGTCACTCACTACATCAACACATCACTACGTCACTCACTACATCAGCACATCACTACGTCACTCACTACATCAGCACATCACTACGTCACTCACTACATCAGAACATCACTACGTCACTCACTACATCAACACATCACTACGTCACTCACTACATCCGCACATCACTACGTCACTCACTACATTAACACATCACTACGTCACTCACTACATAAACATCACTACGTCACTTACTACATCAACAAGATAACTACATGAACACCATCACTCTATCAATACCAACAACATAACTACCATCACAACGTCACTCACTACATCAACACATCACTATATCACTTACTACATCAACAACATTACTTACGTGAACACCATCATTACATCGCCACATCAATACCAACAACATCACCCATCACAGCTCATACTACAACCTTCATCGAACATCATAAATACCACCACCATCACCGCCAACACCACAACCACCAACACAACCATTAACATCTCACACACACACACTAGATACCCATTTGAGGCCGAGTCGACCTAGGGGAGGCCCAGGATTGCTTCAGATAATTGCCACTGATGTTGGTCGTCTGCGGGAATCGAACTCGGGTCGCCGGGAGGATAGAGGAGCACGCTAACCACGACACAACACCGCTCCACCACTACTAACACCACAATCACTAACACCAACACAACCACTACTAACACCACAACCACTACTAACACCACAACCACTAACACCAACACAACCACTAACACCACAACCACTAACACCAACACAACCACCAACACCACCACTACTAACACCACAACCACTAACATCAACACAACCACTAACAACAACACAACCACTACTAACACCACAACCACTAACAACACAAACACTCCACCACAACCACTAACACCAACACAACCACTAACACAACCACTAACACCACAACCACTACTAACACCACAACCACTACTAACACCACAACCACTACTAACACCACAACCACTACTAACACCACTACTAACACCACTACTAACACCACAACCACTAACACAACCACTACTAACACCACAACCACCACTAACACCACAACCACCACTAACACCACAACCACTACTAACACCACAACCACTACTAACACCACAACCACTACTAACACCACAACCACTACTAACACCACAACCACTAAGACCAACACTAACACCACAACCACTAACACCAACACAACCACTACTAACACCACAACCACTACTAACACCACAACCACTACTAACACCACAACCACTAACACCACAACCACTACTAACACCACAACCACTACTAACACCACAACCACTAACACCAACACAACCACTAACACCAACACAACCACTAACACCACAACCACTACTAACACCACAACCACTAACACCAACACTAACACCACAACCACTAACACCAACACAACCACTACTAACAACACAACCACTAACACAACCACTACTAACACCACAACCACTAACACCAACACAACCACTACTAACACCACAACCACTACTAACACCACAACCACTACTAACACCACAACCATGAACACCAACACAACCACTAACACCAACACAACCACTAACACCACAACCACTACTAACACCAACACAACCACTAACACCACAACCACTACTAACACCAACACTACTAACACCAACACAACCACTAACACGACAACCACTAACACCACAACCACTAACACCAACACAACCACTACTGACACCACAACCACTACTGACACCACAACCACTACTAACACCACAACAACTACTAACACCACAACCACTAACACCAACACTAACACCACAACCACTAACACCAACACAACCACTACTAACACCACAACCACTAACACAACCACTACTAACACCACAACCACTAACACCAACACTACTAACACCACAACCACTACTAACACCACAACCACGAACACCAACACAACCACTAACACCACAACCACTACTGACACCACAACCACTACTAACACCACAACCACTAACACCAACACAACCACTAACACCACAACCACTACTAACACCAACACACCCACTAACACCACAACCACTACTAACACCACAACCACTAACACCAACACTACTAACACCAACACAACCACTAACACCAGAACCACTAACACCAACACAACCACTACTGACACCACAACCACTACTGACACCACAACCACTACTAACACCACAACCACTACTAACACCACAACCACTAACACCAACACAACCACTAACACCACAACCACTAACACCAACACAACCACTAACACCACAACCACCACTAACACCACAACCACTAACACCACCACAACCACTACTAACACCACAACCACTAACACCACAACCACTACTAACACCACAACCACTAAAACCAACACAACCACTAACACCACCACAACCACTACTAACACCACAACCACTACTAACACCACAACCACTAACACCACAACCACTACTAACACCACTAACACCACCACAACCACTAACACCACCACAACCACTACTAACACCACAACCACTACTAACACCACAACCAATACTAACACCACAACCACTACTAACACCACAACCACTACTAACACCAACACAACCACTAACACCACAACCACTACTAACACCAACACAACCACTAACACCACAACCACTAACACCAACACAACCACTAACACCAACACAACCACTAACACCAACACAACCACTAACACCCACAACTACTAACACCAACACAACCACTACTAACACCACAACTACTAACACCAACACAACCACTAACACCAACACACGCACTACTAACACCAAAACCACTACTAACACCAACACAACCACTAACACCACAACCACTAACACCCACGATCTACTTAGCCACGAGGAGCCACGTGGAGCCAGAATCACGAGGGAACAAGGACACTGGGAGGAGGGAGCAGGCAGAGTAACCGAGAAAAAAGCATGGAGAAGCAGAGAGGGAGTAGGGAGAGCAGAAAGGGAGTAGGGAGACCAGAGAGGGAGTAGGGAGAAGCAGAGAATGAGTAGGGAGAGCAGAGAGGGAGTAGGGAGAAGCAGAGAATGAGTAGGGAGAGCAGAGAGGGAGTAGGGAGAAGCAGAGAGGGAGTAGGGAGAGCAGAGAGGGAGTAGGGAGAGCAGAGAGGGAGTAGCGAGAGCAGAGAGGGAGTAGGGAGAGCAGAAGGGGAGTAGGGAGAGCAGAAGGGGAGTATGGAGAGCAGAGAGGGAGTAAGGAGAGCAAAGAGGGAGTAGGGAGAGCAGAGAGGGAGTAGGGAGAGCAGAGAGGGAGTAGGGAGAGCAGAGAGGGAGTAGGGAGAGCAGAGAGGGAGTAGGGAGAGCAGAGAGGGAGTAGGGAGAGCAGAGAGGGAGTAGGGAGAGCAGAGGGGGAGTAGGGAGAGCAGAGAGGGAGTAGGGAGAGCAGAGAGGGAGTAGGGAGAGCAGAGAGGGAGTAGGGAGAGCAGAAGGGGAGTAGGGAGAGCAGAGAGGGAGTAGGGAGAGCAGATAGGGAGTAGGGAGAGCAGAGAGGGAGTAGGGAGAGCAGAGAGGGAGTAGGGAGAGCAGAGAGGGAGTAGGGAGAGCAGAGAGAGAGTAGGGAGAGCAGAGAGGGAGTAGCGAGAGCAGAGAGGGAGTAGGGAGAGCAGAGAGGGAGTAGGGAGACCATTTACACTACTCATACCATTCACACGACCCCTACCACACTCCCTACCATTCACACTATCCCTACCACACACTAACACTACCACTATGCCTACCATTTTACACTACCCATACCATTCACACGACCCCTACCACACTCCCTACCATTCACACTATCCCTACCACTATGCCTACCATTTACATTACCCCTACCACATTAATTCTACAACTACCCCGACCACTCACACTATGTCTACCACTACCAGTAATACTACCACTACAGACCACTCACACACGAACTACTTCTCATAACACGTCCAGTTTTCGGGACCACAATACAACATGATTTATCTCCCCAATCCCTAACATAAACCAGATCCTTCCACAACACCCGAACCAGACACCGGAAGGACCGACAGAAGGTAAGAGGGGGGGGTGGAGGAAGATGAGGGACAGCAGAGAGAGGGGGAGACAAGGTAGGGGGGGGGGGAAGGACGTCTGGGATAGGGAGACAAGCGGGGAAGGAGAGGCGCAGGGAGGCTGAGCTGCGAGAGGGAGACAGTGGCAGAGGGTCGGAGAGACGTAGGGAGAGCTGGAAATGGGAGGGGCAGGGAGTGAAGGGAGATGGGGACGACCACGGCCACGAAGCCGGCAGCGAGGGTGCCGTCCGTCGGCAGCGTCGCCGTGACAGTACGCACTGTACCTGTACCAGCAAACGCGGAACTGGTAGACGAGTGAAAAGTTCCCGGTGTCTCAAGGAGTACTTACGAGACGAGGGTCAATGGGGATTGAGATACACCTTACGAGCAAGATAAACGGGGGGGGGGGGGGGGGGTCCCTACAAGGGGGTCTGGGGACTACCGAAAAGGCACCTATATAAAGGAGAAATAGATTTGTGTGGGCGGGATAAAGGGGGGCCGAGATGGGTACATGTAGGGTGCTCGAGGGGGGGGGGGGGGGTAACCTATAGAGGCGGTGCCTGTAAAAGGGATAAAGGGGCAGCGAGTGGGGGGTCAAGACTCAAGAGCACCCGAGGGGATGCCTACGAAGAAGATCAAGGGGATCCATGTATGGTGAGCGAGGGGGATCGAGGCGGTGCCTAGAGAAAAGGAGTCCTTGTCGGTGGTTTTAAAGGGTTACCCAGGGGATTACTGAGCTGGATCGAGGGCGTCACCTCTAGAGGCGCTACGTGTAGGAGACATAAAGGGGGCCCGAGGGGGGCCCGAGGGGGGCCCGAGAGGGGCCCGCAGCGGGAGCGCTACCTGTGTGGGTCCGGGCCGCGTCTCGTCTCGCTGGGGTAGAGATGGCGGCGCGGGTCACGGGGCCGAGACGTCACGCGACGTCACCGCGCGGTGGGTGGGGGGGGTGCGCTTCCGCGTCACGTGATCCGTCCTTGGGGCGGGGCTCGGGATTCTCAGGTTTCACCCGCGACCACGTGATCCCCACCCTACATCCCCCCACCCTCCCGTCTGGTCCCACGTGACACGCCCCTCCACACCCCCCCCACTCGCCTGTCTGGTCCCACGTGACTCCCCACCCACCGGCCCGTCCCTCTATACCCCCCCTCCCAGTCCCACGTGACCACTTCCACCACAGCCCCTCGCCGGTACCACGTGATCCCCCCCTCTCAGTCCCACGTGACTCCCCCCCCCCCAAAGCCCTCTCCCGCCACCCTCCCCCGGTCGCACGTGACCTCACCCCCCACCCCCCTCGGTGTGTTCACGTGGTTGGTCACTCGAAGCCAGTCAGGCAGCAGTCATGGTCAGTCCACTGCTGGATGAAGGCCACTCTCACCCCGAGTCGCGATCCCGACAATCCAGCCCAGCGCCTGCACGCGGAGACGATTTCACCGCTCCGTCTCCGCGGTGGACATGCAAAAAACATTATTTATCAGGCGCGTCCTTGGCTCCCTTCGCTGCCACCTTCGATTGAAATGAGATACGTTCTAGATTTGAAGCTTTCGTGACTGCAAGGATCCATACTCTTTGGTTCTATTTTTTACCTACGTGACTTTACCGAATAGAACCAAAGAGTATGAGATACGTTATTTTTACTGAAGGAGCAATCCGATGTCCAGTAAGGGGGCAGGTCAGAACGTTTACACAAATGTACGAATCAAACTAAACACATTTTTTTTATCTTAACAAATAGCAAAATTGAACTTATTAGCTTATTTTTCAGAAGCGACCTGACCACAAATAGTAACTCAACGATGTGGCGGCTTACCGTGTGGAAATTTATAGAAACCAAATAAAAGTGTGGGCGTAACCATACTTTAGCCAACAAAACACGCTCTTCCTTTCGATATTAGAGCTATGCACTTTTAAATCATCCAGATTGAAAACTCATTTATTTAGAACCGCTTTTTGTGTTCAGTTGTCCTTCCCGCCACCGGACCTCTGATTAGCACGGTTAGCTACGTACGGTGCAAAAGAAGTTCAACATATTGGAGCATGCCACTCCGATTACTTTCGTCCCGTGTTTTGAGATGATTTGAGATGTTACACGGATGATCCCGTTAACCAGTTTCCCGTATATTTTATACGGGTGATTCGTGGTGCCTGAGCACAGCAGGTAACAGCAGAAAACAAGACATCGATATCGCAGAGCACGAGTGTGCAGATTCCTTTAAGGAACATTTCACAAATACCAACGAAACACACGCGAATCGATAAAAAGTGCAAAATATTAAGAATAAGCCCCAGATAAAGTGATCCATGTGAAAGTAAACTCCATTTTTTGGTCCAACAGGTATAAAAGCACACGCGAATAGACAAACAGGCAGTGAAACCATAATATGAGAGCAATATTAGCCGGAAAATGTTACATATGCTGTATACAAAAATACTACTTTAAAATCGACGAAGATAAAGTATTTGAGAGATCTGTTTTTGCTTTGTAAGATATGCTTGATTTTTTTTTTCAAAATGTGATTATAAAACATGCGTGTGCTTGTAGAAGCCATATCTTGTTGAGAAGCAAACATTAATATCGAACCTAGAGACCCATAAAGTTGCGATAGGTGTCAAGAGCAGTGATTCAGCCCCAATCTTCGCCCTCCCTCTGGGACTCCTATTTTATCAGGGCCCCCCACAGGGTCCTCTCACTTGCCTCCTGGATGACCCCCACATAATTCACACGGGACCCCCTACGGGAGCAGAAGTAAAACTCCGAAGGAAGAGGGGGGGGGTAGAGGGTGAGGGTGAAGGGGGTGTGGGAGGGAGGTTGAAAGAGGGAGGGGGATCAAAGCTCTCTGCAGGAGGTCTGATAAGGGTTCAGCGTGAGGGTGGGGGGTCCCAGTGGTTGCGTAACCCCACCCCCTACACGCCGCCTTGCACCTCACCCTCTTCACCGGCACCTCTTCGCGTATCTCCCCTAAGTCGACTCAGACATAACTGAGAAGCCAGTGCGGTGCTGTATAATGAACATCAAGTTAGCGGGGAGACAAAGGCGACCGGGCGTGGTTCCGATCACACCACCCGTCATGTGCCATGCATCTGTCTAGGCTAAACGGGGGATCTTTGTGTGCGTCCACCAGCACCTGTTGTATATGTCGGGAGCGGTGGGTCAGTGGTTAGCGCAACGCGCTACGAACCCGGCGTCCCTGGTTAAAATCACGTTCAGGGACAACGTCAGTGACGAATATCCACCCACAAGGTCGACTCAGCCTTAAATGGCTACTTTGGTCCGATGAGCACGGCTGGCTAAGTACGATGCGAAAGAAGTTCAACACACACAAGCAACGGGGAGAGACAGAAGTGGCCGGACGTTTAGTTGCATAACCACCGACACCCACGTTCTCGTGTATGTCGTAAAAGGTGCTCGCTAATAGCTCTGGCACACGAGAGATTATTGCCTGGGGAGAGGTGGGGCTAGGGGAGAGTGGGCGCTCCGAGGGGCAGGGGGGAGGACGCTTAGGTATAAATGGGTGGTGAGAGGAACTCATCAAATACCCCACTCCGAGACCTTATTTTAGACCCCCCCCCCCTTCTGAGAGTACCTGTGAGTAGAGACGCTTCACCTGTGAAGGTGAACAGAGACGATCCTGGAGACAGGGAGATACACAGGGAGACAGAGAGGCACGGGGAAACAAGAAGAGAGACACAGACAGACAGACATTGAGATACATCGAGACACACACAGACACAAGGAGACACAGAGATAGACACGGACAGGGTGACCGAGAGACACAAAGAGGCAGTGTTAGAGAGAGACACAGGGAGACGCACGGACATACAGGGGACAGAGGGAGACATGCCGGCGCGGGGGGATGACCTCGCTCTCCACTCCTCTATTGGGGTCGCGCGTCTCTACCCCCCAAGACCCCGGAGCCTCTGGGACCAAGAAGGTCTCAGCCACCCGCCGCACTGCCCCTGTCCGCCTCGGCGCCTGCCTAGCCTCGGGGTCCGGGCGCACCCCTGTGGAGACCCCTGCGAAGAGACGGAACCCAAGACGCGCGCGCAAAGGGGGTTCCGCGTTACCTTCCACCTGCTGGACGGGGTCTCCGGGACCCAAGGTCGCCGAGGGTCCCTTCAAGACCATCTCACTCGGGACCCCCTTGCTGCAGGACTCCCTCGTTCCATCCTCAAGAAGCGACTCTCGGTGAGCAGCGTGGACGGGGCGGAACTGGGGTGTCGAGAGGACCCAGTAGGGGTGGGTGGAGAGGGAGCCCGCGACTCAGGGGGTCCGCTGATCCCATTGACTCCACGGAGCCAGTTGACTCCGCTGGCCTTTATGGGTCGCGGCTCCGTGGCCACGTGGAGTTCAGAGTTCACGCGAGTCCTCGTGGAGATGAGAGATGGAGACAACGGGGCACGGATACACTGAGACACGGGGACACTGAGACAAGGGGTCGCGGAGACACGGGCCCTGCTGAGAACACGTGGAAAACCGAGACAACGTGTCTATGTGTGACACTGAGACACGGGGACACTGGGACAAGGGGTCGCAAAGACAAGGACCCTGCTGGGAACACTTGGAAAGACCGAGACACCGTGTCTATGTGTGACACTGAGACACGGGGACACTGGGACAAGGGGTCGCGAAGACACGGGCCCTGCTGGGAACACGTGGAAAGACTGAGACAACTTGTCCATTTGGGACACTGAGACACGGGGACACTGGGACAAGGGGTCGGGGAGACACGGGCCCTGCTGGGAACACGTGGAGACACTTGAGACGAGGTGTCCTGGCGGAGATCGGCACGGTGACACTGAGACTCAGTAGCCATTCTTGATCCATCCTGAAGTCAATGAGACATGGGGATACGCGGAGGAAATTACATGAAGACACGGCCCTTCTCGGGGACACGGAGACACGGGGACACTGAGACTCGCGGAGACATGCGGTGATACGGAGACACGGGCTGTGTTGCTGTGTTTCTTCAGTGACTGTGATTACATGCGAAGTATGTGCAGTTTACAACAATATGGTGTATCCTTTCTGGCAATAAAACAGTTGTGTTAAGATGTTAAAACACCAAACAGAATCCTTTTTCAAGGAATCCTGTCTGCATTAACCACACGTACTTGTGGTGAACATGCAAAAAAAAACATGCTCTGATAATATATGCATTGTATTTCCAGAAAGGGTAAAACCTATTGTTATATGTCGATACTGGCAAGAAAGCTCCCATATTATGTACCGTTTATTTGGCGAATGCTTTTACACGTCAATTTAACCCAATTATAGCAGTAGATACACGAGACAAATAATACGCAAGTGCATATGTATGTCGATGTTCTGTGAGTGGACGCCAGCCCACGTAGCCACGGAGCCATGTGAGAGCCTCCTTACTAGCTATTTGGTGGTAAATCTTGACTTAAAGCTTTCGTGACTGCAGGAATTCATATTCTTTGGGTCTTTCGGGAAAATCACGTAGATAGGTTGAAAGAAAATAAAACAAATCTACGACGTTTCGATCACAACGCAAGCGATCGTCTCCTCCTGATGACGATCGCTTGTGTTGTGACTTTCCCGAAATTCCCAAAGAAGACTTGATTCGAAGCTTTCGTGACTGCAGGAATTACTCTTTGTTTTTTTCGGTAAAATCACGTATAAATAAGAAATAATAAAATAACATAATAGCGTACGACGTTTCGGTTGTAACACAAGCAGCCATCATCAGGTACAGAAGAGCTACATTTACGAGAGAGGAAACACATAACCCCAGATATATATACAGACACCCAAGTAGGGGGAACTAACACAGATACAACAGGGGACACAGAGAGAGAATCACACCAAACAAACAGGGGTGTCTGTATATACATCTGGGGTTATGTGTTTCCTTTCTCTCGTAAATTTAGCTCTTCTGTACCTGATGACGGCTGCTTGTGTTGCAACCGAAGCGTCGAACGCTATTATGTTATTTTATTATTTCGTATGTATACGTGACTTTACCGAAAAAAACAAAG